TCTTGGGCATCTTGATCCTTTCATGGGGAAGCCTCCTCCACCCATGGTGGTGATGGCAAGCGTCGTGGCAAGGCTTCTTGGAGAAGAAGAAGAAGATCGACCCCAACACTGCCCGGTTACACGGGAAGACAGGCCATTGGGCAAAAGAGTGCCCAAATTGCAAGTAGGAGAAGAAGGTTGAGGCTCATCTGGCATAGGTTGATGATGATGATAAGGCCACTCTCCTGATGGCGACATTATGTGCACTGCATGACGTCGAGGCCAAGGAGAAGGGAGAGGTGATGGCAGTGAAAGGGTCTGGGAAGGCTCTAAAAGTTGTCAACCTCGACAAACCACGTGCCCAAGTCCACCTCGGACGTGTGGGCAGCGAGCAGGAGTAGTGGTGGTACGTGGACTCTGGCGTCAGCAACCACATGACGGGCTCCAAGGAAGCCTTCTCCGAGCTTGACGGCGACGTGACCGACACGGTGAAGTTCGGTGACGGCTCAAGGGTGGCGATCCGAGGGCGCGGCACCATCATCTTCAGGTGCCAGAATGGCGAGCACCGCGCGCTAATGGATGTATATTACATCCCATAGCTGCGTTCAAGCATCGTCAGCATTGGCCAGTTGGATGAGCGCGGATGTGAGATACTGATCGAGAGCGGGATCCTGAGGATTCGGTATCAGGAGTGGCGTCTTCTCGCGAGGGTAAAACGCTCATGTAATCGACTGTACCTGCTCAACTTGAAGGTGGAGTAGCCGGCATGCCTGATAGCACGGCACACTAAGGAGCCATGGTTGTGGCATGCCCGGTTCAGCCATCTCAGCTTCGACGCACTAGGTTGGCTGGAGAAGACAGTCTGAGGGCTGCCCCACATTAAGCACGGAGGTGAGCTGTGTGATAGCTGCCTGGTCGGGAAGCAAAGGAGGCTACCATTCCCAAAGATGGCCAAGTATCGCGCGGTGGACGCTCTCAAGCTTGTCCACGGCCATCTCTGCAGGCCAATCACGCCAGGCACAAATGGTGGTCGGTGGTAGTTCCTCCTGCTCATGGATGATTACAGTCGTTACATGTGGCTGCAACTCCTGACGAGCAAGGATGAGGCGGTGGAGGCGATCAAGAAGTTCAAGGCATACGCGGAGGCGGAGAGCGGCAAGAAGCTACGCGTGCTGAGGACTGATCGCGGTGGCGAATTCACTTCGGTGGAGTTCGCTGTGTACTGTGTGGATCAAGGTGTGGTGCGACACCACACCGTGCTGTACTCGCCATAGCAGAATGGCGTGGTGGAGCAGCGGAACCAGACGGTGGTCGTCATGGCTCGATCCATGATGAAGGCAAAGGGCATGTCAGCAAGGTTCTAGGGTGAGGCAGTGACCACAACCATGTTCATCCTCAATTGCACGCCCACCAAGGCCCTGAAGGGTAAGACGTCGTTCGAAGCTTGGTATGGGCACAAGCCGAGTGTGTCCTTTCTCCAGATATTCGGCTGCATCGGCCATGTCAGGAAGACAAAGCCAGTCCTCACCAAGCTGGAGGATAGGAGCACACCGATGGTGCTCCTGGGCTACGCGGAAGGTACCAAGGCATACCGGCTCTATGACCCACGCGGAGACAAGGTGCTTGTCTCACACGACGTCGTGTTCAACGAGAAGGTGACCTAGGACTAGGATAGTCCAGGCACGGGGGAAGATGGCAGCTTCACCGGCATCATTGTCGTCGAGCACTTGGTCATCCACGGTGGTGGAGACGCTGAAGAGGAGGTGCCAACCACTCCAGCAACAGAGCCAAGCACTCCTGGGGAGGTGCCGAGCACTCCGGAAGGGGTACCGAGCAATCCAGGAGTGGAGCCGAGTAGTCCTACAGTGGTACCGACCACTCCAGGACGGGTGCCGAACGCTCCCGTAGCGGAGCCAAGAGGTCTTACAGTGGTGCCGACCACTCCAAGACTGGTGCTGAGCACTCCTACAGTGGTGCCGACCACTCCAAGATTGGTGCTGAGCACTCCTGTAGTGGTGCCGACCACTCCAGGAGTGATCATGAGCGGTACAGGAGTAGTGCCGAGCACTATAGCCAGGGTGCCGACCACTGTAGGTGCCATGCCGAGCACTGCGGTGGAATAGGGAACTCCATCGACGCCGATCAAGTTCGCCTCACCTCCAAGTGATATCACTGAGTTCGTGGATGCCTTCCACGATGGTGAGGAGGTGTGTTTCCGCAAGCTGGTTGATGTCATCGGCGGCACAGGGCCCTCAGGCCTGGCGGGTCGGCTGCTCAATGACCCAGAGCTACTTCTCATCAGTGCAGAGGAACCACCCACGGTCGCGCTGGCTAAGCGCGATGCAAATTAGCGACGGGCGACGCTGGAGGAGATGAAGGCGATCGAGGAAAACAAGACTTGGGAGCTCGTCGATCCACCTCCAGGATGCCATTCTTTCAGCCTGAAGCGGGTGTACAAAGTCAAGCGGGACGAGCACGGTGCCATTGTCAAGCACAAGGCATGCCTCGTCGCCTGAGGCTTTGTCCAGCGTGAGGGCATCGACTTTGAGGAAGTCTTTGCGCCGGTAGCGCACATGGAGTCTGTCCGACTGCTTCTGGCTTTGGCAGCAGCGAAGGACTGGCGCGTTCATCACCTGGACGTAAAATCGGCCTTTCTCAACGGCGAGCTGGTAGAGACGGTCTTCATCGGGCAACCTCTAGGTTTCGCCGTCAAGGGAGCGAAGCACAGGGTGCTCCGACTGCGCAAGGCGCTCTACGGGCTGCGGCAGGCCCTGCGAGTATGGAACGCCACGCTGGGCGAGCTTAGGTTCACGCGGTGCGCAATCGAGCATGCACTCTACACGCAGCAATGGGGGAAGGAGGTGCTCGTCATCGACGTGTATGTGGATTACTTGATTGTCACCGGCGCGCGTGCGGAGGACATCGACAGCTTCAAACGCGAGATGGCGGCTTGTTTTTTAATGAGTGATCTCAGCGCGCTCTCCTACTACCTCGGCATCGAGGTGAGACAGCGGAAGGAGGCGCTCACGCTTGGTTAGAGCACGTACGCCTCGAAGCTGTTGGAGCGGAGCGGCATGGCTGAGTGCAAGCTGTGCGTGACTCCGAGCGGCTAAAGCTGACGAAGGCTAGTACCGCGGCGAAGGTAGATGCAACACTCTATCAGAGCATCATCGGCGGTCTGCGCTACCTAGTCCACACGAGCCTGAACATTGCGTTCGCCGTGGGCTACGTTAGCCGCTTCATGAAGGATCCCCGAGAGGATCACTGGGCTGCGGTGAAGCAGCTACTGCGCTACATCAAGGGGGCGATGGATCAGGAGATCGTCTTTCCCAAGACCGGTGGAAACAGGCTGCAGCTCACTGTGTTCAGCGATGCAGACATGGTGGGGGACATCGACGGACGGCGGAGCACCTCTAGCATGCTCATTTTCCTCGGGTCGGCTCCAATCTCATGGTTGTCGCTGAAATAGAAGGTGGTGGCACTGTCCACGTGCGAGGCAGAGGACGTGGCGGTGGCCACAGCGGCGTGCCAAGCTGTATGGCTGCGCCGGCTGCTAGGTGAGCTGACCAGTGTGGAAGCTCACCCACCATCACTGATGGTGGACAACCGGCCCTCCATCGCCCTCGCGAAGAATCCGGTTCTCCAAGACCGGAGCAAGTACATCGACGTCAAGTTCCACTTCCTCAGGGATTGTATCGATGGAGGTCAGATCGTCATCGAGTTCGTAAAAACTGGTTGGCAACTCGTGGACGTCCTCACCAAGCCGCTCAGCCGTCTTCGGCTCATGGAGCTAAAGAAGATGATAAGCATGGAGGGGGTTCTAGGGTTAGCAGCAGGATTAGGAGAAGAATTGTTAAGTAATCTGATGCTCCCCTGTGTGAACGCACGGTAGGGGCAGGCGCCGAAAAGGGTTCCCTGCTGCTGCACTGTAGCCGCTGCAGGGGCAGGCGCCGAAAGGCTCCCCTGCTACACTGTAGCCACGGCAGGGGCAGGCGCTAAAGTCAGTTCTACTGTCATATCTAGTCACTGTAGGATTAGATGGGTAGAGTTGTATATATAGCTTTCTACTGCAACTTAGTAAAGAGAGCGAGTTCAGTTTTGCCATCTCCTCTACAAAGCTCCGGGCAACGCTGGTACTTGTGCTATGTGTGTGCTCTGTTCTTCCTCCCTTCTTCTACCTCTAGCCATAGTGTGTGGTCGGCAGCTCTGGTGAGTGGTCGACTCAACCGTTGCGAAGATCCAGGGGCTAACAAAACAATCGATCTTGCAGTTCCAAGTCTTCCTTAATCGAAGTTGCAGGTTGGGCCGCTGGGCTGTGGGGGGTGCAGTCTATTGGACTTTGGGGTGCATAAAGGGTCAAAATCTGGGTACTATAACTTGAAAAGAAAAATCAAGGTGGTGCATCTGCACCCATGGTCAATAACTGGGCTTCGCCCCTGCTCATAAGGCTAAGAAGTACCATGATGGCTTGGTGAGGCTTGTGCAAATTGGTCCGCAAGCGAAGCAGGTAAGAAGCACTACACCTTTGATGGTTGTTTCCATGCATGTTCTGAAGATAGGAGATGATGCAGTTTATGCTGCTGATTAGTAATGCTAGGTTGTTTCAATAGTCCTGCAATCATCAGTTTACTAAAATGTCATGTTATGTTCCCTGAACTGAATGCTCAGATTGTTTTGCTCGATGAAGATGGCCAAGTACTGTGTAGCAGGCATCTCAAGTCAGGGGAATCCGTTGAAAGTGGGAAGAAATGCCAATTTCCTAATTATCTGGTAGATATTTGTGAGGCCAAAAATCAGAATAAAATAAAGGTAACTTCATACATGCTCTAGTAGTCACAAAGCTTTTAATTAGTCCGTGGGCCTGCGCCTCATGAGACTTCCTAGTTTCATTTTCTTAATTACAGAATGATGTATAGCAAGAATTTTCTATCTCACTGAATGGGTGCTACTGTGGCTTGATTGGTATGCCATATGCACATGCAGAGCATACCTCAGAGGAATCTATGGTGCACACAAAACCAATGAATGGGAAGAGTACAAGTAACAAGATGGGAATGGGTGCATTGAGTACATCTCAGAAATTTATTAGTCCACATCCACAAAAAATTCATGGTACTTGGCTTCAAGTTTATAGAACACTTAGCTATATTCCACATCTTCCTTCACAGTGCCATGAGAATCTTATTTTTTCTCTGTAATGTATAGATCTTGACAAAACTGACTCAGAAGTCACTGCTAGCTCTGGCAAGCCAGAGACTGACAATGCTGAAGCAGTGTCTGCTGATCAACCAGGGAGCCTTATTGAAGCAGATTCAGATTTCAAAGGTCTGTGTGTTAACACTACATGAGATATCTGTATTTTGTAGTATAATGAATTCTGAGGCTTATATAATTTTATATACGAAATGTGCACCCTTTGTAGAATGGAATGCCTTGTATACCACCCAACTAACTCAAAAAGCAAAGAAATACCATGATGGCATCATAAGGCTCATGCAAATTGGCTCACACGCAAGGCAGGTCAGGAACTGGTTTTCAATACTTCATTTTCATTTTCTATTTGCTGGGGAGCGTGGCTCCACAGTTTCTTTCAAAAAATACTTCATTTTCTAAGTAGGTGTCCAACAGTTCTATAGGAGGATGCTGTTGCCTGTTAGATTATCTAGTGAAACGTTGGCATGCTGTGGACCTGTGTGAGTGACAAATCTTACTGTTGTATTAAATTTGTGTTTAGATTGTTTTGCTGGATGAATATGGTGAAAAGCTTGGCAGCAGATACCTCAAGTCAGTTGAATCTGTTGAAAGTGGGAAGAGATTCCAGATGCCTAACTATCTTATTGATGTCTGAGTTTAGAAATCAGAAGAATGGTTAGTTATATTCCCACCCAAGCATTCTCCTTCTGTTTCCAACGTGTAGATACAAGATGCTGCACTTGTGCAAATAGGTAGCCTAAGCATCTCTTTTTATGAATTACACATACTTTCTTCACATGTGTAGAGCCTAGACACTCTTCGAAGGAGGCTTTGAGTCAGACAGGACTGAGAAATGAAGAGAATACAAGTGACAAACTGAGTGGAAAAAGTAAATCACCAAAGTTTGTTAGTCCATTCAAGTGCCAAGGTACTTGTTTGCAAAGTTGTGCAACAAATAATTTGCTTTCTGTATTATAGGATTCATTTATCTTTGAAATCTGCAGATCTTCGGAAGAGTCACTGGGAAAGCACTACAAGCTCCAATAGGCCACAGATTGGCCCAACTTCCAGTAACTTGGATGCTCCACCAAATTTCAATGGTGCAAGAGCTTAACATTAAGCCCCATTAGTTCTATTTCCTGCCTCCCATATAGCTTAATATAGTTCAACTACAAACCGTTTTCGGTACTTTCAGATCCTTGGAGTAAATCAGACGGCAATGTCAATAGAAGGGCTGACTGTAGTGAATCAGCATTTGGTATCATGGATGATCCGCTTAAATTTAGTCGTATGGATCTACTGAATCATTAGTTTTACACTCCATTTCTACTTTCCATACTCTTATATGTTTTTTACGCAACGATACTGCTTTTGCAGACATACAGAGGGCCACAGCTACCAATCCTTGTCCTGCATTTGGCAAATTAAGTTCTACCAGGGATCTGCCACAGTTTCATGGTACTGGAGCTTAATGTTACAAGATTATGTTCATTTAGTTCTACTTCCTGGTTGTCATATATTCGAATGCAGCATCACCTATGTTTCTCCATGATCTACAGATCTTCAGGCAGGATGCCCCAGGAGTTTTGACAGGAGAGAGGTTGGCAAATCAACTTTTGGTAACATGGATCATTCAGTACGAACTGGTTTGTACATCTTTACTTATTTCTAGCTTGAATATCTGTTGCATGATCCCTGTGTAAGGAAACTGGGAAAATAGTTGTTTGGACTACCTTAGAATCATTGATAAGCACTTTGGGCATGAGTTCCCAGTCAGCTTCTGTTGCACAATTTTGTAAAGTGATCACTTTGTAAAATAAGCTAACTGTCTCGATGCATGCCCTTTTACAATGGCAAAGTGAGTAGTAAACAATCAGTATAGTTCTCAAATCTCAAATCTAATAAATTGGAAATCCTGCTGTTATGCTTCCATCATGCTCATTTCACTTTTCTTGCGCGTGTTCGATAATGAGAAATTTGGATTTAAATCATGATTTTTTTTGTATAAATGTACGATGTTATAATAATCATGTTTTAAGTACAAGCCTCATTTTGATGGAACACATTTCCCCCTTAGGTGTGTGTTGGTGAGATGTACAACTACTCTTGCTTATTTAGACTCATGTATTTTATATTAAAACCAAATGGCATCTTTATCTGTAGCATCCCAAATACTGTCCATCATGAAGCCCCCAGCAGAAGTCAGAATTTCCCAAAGCGCTCCATCTGGACAAGCACATTCATTGGCATCTTCTGTGTCAAGGGCTGCTTTTGATGTGAATTGTAGAAAAAACTCAGTGGTTGATGATTCAAACAGATCTTTTGGTGGTAGGGAGACCTCTGGATCATCTCACTTTGCTACCCAACTTCGTTCATCCATACAATCTTGTTTGAACTTAGAAACTCTGCCACGAAAGAACTCAATAGGGGATCATCAGTGGAATGAATCATCAGGAAACAATTATTCAACTTATGATGATCCGAACATCAGGTAAGAATTGATTTGTCTAATATTTATATCCTAGAATGCGAATTTCTTGACACCAGCTAAGCTGCAACATGCAAAATAGAATAGCTGATAAATATTTACTTTAACGATATTTAATAGGAGACCAGCTGCTTTTGAGGGTCGGAATTTGGCCATGGTAGATACCTTAGCATCTAACATGTCCAATGCAAAAGGACAGAAACTAGATTCAAGCAATCAACACTCTGGAAGTTCGAGTGGTACTACTTTGTACACCTGTAATTTGCAAAGCTTGATTGCCATAGAACTAGATGAAATCATAAATGCTGCTTATGTTGGTTTGAATTTTACAGATAATGTGCCAGTTATGAACATTGTGACAGACACAGGATTTTCCCTGTGGAACATGACATGTTACATTTGTGATATAACCGTGTTACGTGCAGGAAGTCATAGGTTCGTCTTTTTATTGGCTGCCCACAGAGGCACATACACAGTTTCTTTCTTGCCAGCAGGTTTTTTCTCATGAGATCAGAGCACTGAAGTACTAGATATAGGATTTCGACCTCTCAGTGTTCAATACATGTTTCACAATTGTTTTAACACAAGACTTAATTTGTGATAGTGCTTTTCAAGCAGCTAATGTTGTTGTTTTACTTGGGTCGATCTAGATAGCTTTACCTAATATTAATTAAAGGTTATAATTTCAAAATCTGACTTCACATATCTGCACAAGGACCTCCCCCATTGACATCTGCTTTCACCCTGACATGTACAGACCCCAAGATTCAGGAACTAATAGATGATTGCCCTTCATTCGACCTTGGCTTCTAACCCGAAGGTATGGGCCTATGGCCCTATCTTATATTCAACATAACATTACATAGCATAACCTGGGCTATTTGCGGTATGACTTTCATATAGTTAAGCATGAATTTAGTTGCTCTTATTTCTTGTTTTGAAAGGCGTGTATTTCGTTGGAAGCCCTATGATCCGTAACAATACACGAGTTGAATTGCTGTCTCATTCGCCCCCATTTTTTTCTTTTTTTGAAGGTTGCCCCCAAATTTGTGTCGATATGCTAAGTTGTCTTTATTTCACATTCTCACTGTAAACTAATGTGCAGCAAGATTAGTGCCACAGGGAATTCCTTATATAAAAATTGTGGCATTTTTCTTGTGACATGGTATCATGAATATCGTCATTGAGTTTCCGGCTGCCACAGAGCAAATTGAGTGGAGGTAATGGTATGTTTATGACATGAACCAAATATGATGTAGGGGGTTACAACTTGCCACTGCAATTTTTTTTTTTGGGTATATGTATGTAATGGAAACAGATGTTTCACGGTTCAAGACTAGACGAGAAGCCATGCCCCCTTTTTTCATCACGTGACGGTGAAAATGATTAGAAAGTGTCCATGTAGTGGGTCGGCAACCACCTTATTAGACGACTGGCTGATGACTTGTATGCGTGGCTATGTCTCGAATAGGAAGGGATAAGTGAGCACGGAGCTCACTCACGACAATGATTCCTTTGTCCACTTGTTTCCAGAGAAGGACGTGGAGAAGTTTGTATTTGTATGGGAATACTATTCGGTCTGTTCGTTTATTGGTTTTAGCTATGACTTATTGGCAGGCAATAGTGTTTTTCTCTTACAACAAGCCAGCATTAACCGAACTTATCAGTCCAGAAATCAACGAGCGAACGTGTTCTGAAACCGTTCATTATTTTCTATGGTCCGACAAAAAAAATATCTACATGTCCGAACAGTGTCGGTTCCTATAGTTTTTTCTTTGCTCATGTAACCTACGGTGTCTGAAGAATCTAACGAGTCAGGGGCTTTTGCTTTTCATCATCCAGGATTTCGCTTTTGTGATGATCCCGTGGGCAGAATTCAGCAAAAGGCCGCGGTTTTGTGAAGAAACCGGGAGTTATTAAAGTGCGTGCGTGGGTGCTCAGTTCAGGGTTGCGCGCGGTTGCAGCTCTTTTTTCTCCTTTGTATCCCAAACTAGTTCTTGGGCGCGCCCATGCACGCGGACCACTGGCCACACGTATTTTTTGAAAAAAAAAGATATAATCAAGGGGGGTCTATATTTCGATTTGAGAAAAATCTGAGGAGGTTTTCGAAAAAATCGCTGAGAGTGTCTCTGGAGTGCGGGTTGATTTTTGATAAAAGGAAGGGTTTTTTTGCAAAAAATCCGGAGCTCATCCGTTCTGGACTGCGGGTTGATTTGAAAATTATCTGAGGTGTTATTTACAAAATATTCTGAGAGGGTCTCTGGAGCGCGGGTTAATTTCCCAAAAACATAAGGGGTTTTTCGTAAAATGACCGCGCCTCGCCCGATCTAGACCGTCGATGCGGCCGATCGAACGGCCGGGAATGGCCGGCGATGTGGCGCGCCGTGTGGGCAGCCTGGCCTCATGCTTTCTTGTCTTTAGATGAGAACTGACTGGTCGCTTTTGCTGTTTGGCCCTTTGCGTGACACGAGTGTGATACACGTCGTTGCTCGCTTGAGTGTGAAGTTATTCCATCAGGTTTCTTTTAGGAGAAGCTCCGGTTAATTAGAGCGTTCTGAATTTGTTTTAAATCAAACTTTTTAATTTTTTATTAAATTTTTAATAGAAATCTACTGATACCTACAAGATCAATATACTTCCTCAGTCGCAACAAATACGCATCTCCTAATCCTATAAACTAAACTAGATCTATAGATAATAATATAAATATTTTTACCTTTAAATATGTTTATTATAAAAATATTACTGCCAATCTGATATAATACTTTTAGGTGTTGTAAATATTATTATTTTTAATAGAGTTGGCCAAAATTTTAAGAAAAAAAAGAAAACAACATGATGCGTATCTTTTTTTTAGACGGAGAGTGTAGTTTTGTTAAATTTTTCATGAGATAGATTTTACTAAAAAATGGACGTGGCTAGCGCTCGGAAGTCCAGACGCTAGCCCCCATCCAGACGCCGGGGCCGCTGCCCTCTGTCTCGCGTCCGGCGCCTGTCCGCCCACGTCTCGCCTGCTGCGCCCACCCGCAAGCACGTGGGGCCTGCCCGCGCTAGTGGGGACTATCACCGCCGTCCTATGCCTGACACCGAGGCGAGACAACAAAACGACGAGGAGAGAGATGCAACCCTCGTTCTAGTTTTGAAACATCTAGGTGCAACAATTGCAACATACGACTGAAAACAAATGAAACATTTAAAACATGCGTCTAAAACACTTGCATTTCAAAAAAAATACCTAAAAACACTTGAAACCATTGTAAACATACGCAACATCCAGATCAAACACTTGCATAATATGTGTGAAAATATATGCAACATCCAGATAAACAAACTTGCAACATACGTTGGGAAAAACAGCTGAAACATTGAGAACAGGAGCTTGCAACATACGTGTACAACCATTGCAACATGTGCAACATCCTAATCTATGTTTACAACATCCGTATGAAAATACTTGCAACATACCTTTGAAACACTTGAACAGATGCTTGCAACATGCGTTTTTCACCCTTCTTCCATACGACGCAATGCAGAGCGGGGGACGGCCAGTTCTAGCCAGCCGGCAGCCGAGGATGGTTGCCCCGCCTGACAGTGGCCAGTTGCGCCTGCGGCTGGCCTGGGCTTGGCCAACGACGCCCCCTCTCTTGGCCGCCTGGCCTGGGCGCGGCGAAGGACGGATCACGGTGGCGCGGCAGGGGACAGAGGCGCCGCTGCACTCGCCGAGCACGCACATGGAGCTTGGAGGCGGAGGGCGAGGCGCCGACGACAACTGCAGTCGGTGGGGTAGCTGGTAGTGTACCTCACGCGAAGGATTCCTCCTCTTCGCAGGAGACGGAGGTGCTGCAGGGATGGGGACGCCGCGGGGGATGGCAGGCGGGGGATGGCAGGCGGCGGCACTGGATGGAGGCGGAAGCGTGGCGGATTAGGACGTTCGGACGGTCGTACGGTGCCGTAAAGCCGCGACGCACGAGCGTGGAATAGAGGAGATGAACTTCTCCCAAATTTCTGTCGAAAGAGATTCGCTCTCGCAAGTCGGATCCAGGAATGCTCACACGAGATGGCACGGTTTATTTTGCTCCTTGCTTTTTTCCCCAATCATCATCAATTCAAAAGGGAAAGGAAAAAAGAAATTCTTGGCACCCTTTCTTGGACCAGTAAACTCTAGACTCTAGAGAAACGCCCCGAACGAAATTGGACGGAAAAGAAAACGAGGCGACGTGGGCGAAAAAGAAAAGAAAAATGATCGGAACCGAAACTAGAGCATGGTTGACTTTCAAAATATACCATGCCAAAGATTTGACAAGTTAAAAGTTAGTAAAATATATTGTCATAAATTTAGCAAGTCAAACAGGAGAGTTTGACAAGTTTTGATAGTAAATCAAATATAGCTAAAGGGTAAAATCATGGCTCGGTAAATCGAACTGGAACAAGTAGAAGAGGGAGCGCTGTCAGAGAAGAGAAGGGGAGCAGTGCGTGTCGTGGACGGCAGCTCGCTTCGCTTGGGCGGGCTCCCCTGTTCATTTCTTCGCCTTCGCCGGGAGTAGTACTAGCATTATTATCCGACGAGACGAAAAGGATTGCGGGACGGGGCAAGAAATATCGGCCCTGTTACTTGTCTCACGGTCTATACTAGTATTTTTCTCCTACCGACAAATCAGTGAAACAGTAGTGTCGGCTACGACTTTTAAGGGAAACGAACATGCCATCATTTTACTTGGCGGTTTCTTCTGTCGCCACTTCAACCCTCTCTCCCTCCACGTCGTTATCCGGAGGAGCAGCGAGGAGAAAGATCCACCTCCCTCCAACCTCTTTACTCCTCTTTCCCATCTCGCTCGCTGCGGTGCGGCGGGATACGCATACGCGCCGCTAGATTCAGTCAGCGCTCATGATCCGGGGCAGCGAGGGCGGCAACAACCAGCGCCGCGCGGCACAAGCCTGACGTGCCCGGGACGACCTCTTCGCCACCCACCAGTAGGCCTCCTTGCCCCTTGCCGCGCGCGGTTCTTGCTCGTGGAATCGGGTCGTGGCCCAGGTTTCCAGGTGAGGCGCCTGATTACTACTTTCTCCTTTCGTGCGATGTTGATGAACCCCCTTTGCCCTTGGTGTTGTCGCATCCTTCACCTGTCGGATCGATCGGACGATCTGATCTGCAGCTGCATATCTTGATCTCCGTGCGTCCAGTGAAATCGTCGTGTTACTGAAAATGGATGGACTCTGACGTGTGTGTATCAGTATTGCGTCCGATTTGGGGCCAGATCCGCCTTGCTTGGTGCCCTCAGTTCGGGGAGCCCGTTGAGGAACCGCGCAATCCATGTTTTTTTAGTTTCCTCCTATCGTTCTGGAAGTTCCCACACTGAAATTGGCCTTTCTTCTTGATCTACCGTGTACTTCAACGTTGCTTGCGTCTTTTTAGACAAGACACTTGTCGTCTACTTGTGGATTGTGGGTATCTAACTTCCTTGTACCATCTACACTCCTTCAATGCTAAGCAATCATTGATGGATAGACTGATAGGTCCACCTAATAATAATACTTTCAACATTTCATTTCATTTCATTTGTTATATATAGTGCATCTTGTGCTGTGACCCCAGTTTGCTGCAATTCTTTGTTTGTCCCTGTCCTCGTTGGGGGAAGAAGTAAGTGCCTGCTAAACCGATGCCGGATGATTTTGTGACGCGCAGGTCGGTAGCATGTGAGAGTGATGGCGGCCGCAGAAGCGAGGGCTGCCTGGCAACGCGCCGCCAACCGCTGCCTGGTCCAGGAGGATGCCAAGCGAGCTCCCAAGCTGGCCTGCTGCCCGCCGACCCTGCAACCGCACGAGAGCGATGGAAGTCCTCCGAGTCCGCAAGATCTCCATTCCCCTACATTTATGCCCATCAACTGGAACCTGATGAACTCCAGCCTGCCCATGGAAACCCAGTGGTGGCTCCAATTGCAGCCAAACTTTGGGTGCCAGACAGCCCTAGCTAGGGAGCACCTCAATTGTATAGGTGGGGACGCCGCTGAGAAGAAAATGGAGGGTTTAGCGCCGGTATCCAAACTTGAGGATGTCCAAGCAAAGAAGGCTGCAGATCCTTTTGAGCCTCCGTGGATCGTTTCGATGGCTTCCATGAAGCAAACCTCTGAGACGGGTTTGGAAGAGTTGAAGAATCTTGCTTGCTTTACCCCAGTGAGCCTCAAGTGCAAAGGAAATGCAAACAACTGTATTTACGAGGATAAAGAGTCTACAGAGTTCAAAGCTTTTGGTCCTCTGCTTCCTAAGAAGCCGCAAAAGGAACACTGCGAAATGCATGCCCCTTGGGAACAAACCAAGAAATCTCAGCCATGGTGGCAAGTAGCTGATGTCGATGGTTTGGCTTACCTTGTCGCTGAAAGAGCAATGGAAAACATTGTCAACAATGATCTGCCAAGACCCACTCAGACAATCCGGGTTCATGGACCTAAAGTGAAGAGCCCTGAAAATAAGGATGACTATGGCCTGCCTGCTCTTTCCGTGGACAAAGAGCTAGATCCTGTACATGACACTATGGAGTGCAGCTACAGTGTTTCAAGCACCACCAATGAAACGAATTCTTCTGATGGGGGACGTTGGCAACAACATCAAAGAAATAATGTGCCCGGGTAAGTTACCTTCTTTCACAATCAGTGAAATAACCATAAGTCCAAAACTACAATGTTGTGTCTTCCTTGTATGGTTTCCACTGGCTTTTCCCTGTTTTATGCAAGTCTCCTCACTGATGGAAAAACTTAGATGAAGCATAGTTTCCATGTACTGAATTTAAGAGATACTAATAGCATAGTTTCTTTGTTTTACGAGTTCTAGTTTGTTTCTATGGTGATATCCTCATGTTCCCTCCTGTCTATTTAAATACAAGGTCCAATTCAGTATTTACTTCTTTTCAATTAAAAGTTATGTGTGATTGTCTGAACTAATCTGTGCGTCAGTCATATGACCAGATAGTAGGTGGTATCCTTCGGATGCATCTCCCTGGAAAGCTTTAGTCGTCTTCTATTTGTCCATGACTTGTTCCCAGTCCCTGCCATGCACTAAATATTATCATATTCTGCAGGGATGCACAGGATTCGTATAGTTCCACCACCAATACACCAGGCAGCAAGCCAACATATCAGAATGCTTCCGAGAGGGCCAAGCTACTAGACGCTCTCCGTCACTCGCAAACACGTGCTAGGGAAGCTGAGATAGCTGCCAAGAAAGCCTATGACGAGAAAGACCATGTCATCAAGCTATTGTTCCGCCAGGCCTCACACCTCTTTGCATGCAAGCAGTGGTTGAAAATGTTGCAGCTGGAAAATATATGCCTTCAGCTCAGGTTCAAAGAACACCAGATAGCAACCATGTTCCCGGAGTTTCCATGGATGGTGGTGAAGGAAAATGTAGCACCTTCTCAAGAGCACAATGAAGGGAGTAGGAAGAAAGGCAGAAGGCCAAACAGGAAAGGTGGCCTCCGCAATGCCGTTGCATTTGCTGTTGGTGTTGGTCTTGTTGGTGCTGGATTGCTTCTTGGCTGGACTCTTGGATGGCTACTGCCCTAGCTGGAAGTTCCATTGTCTTCGATGACCGTAAAGGTGACAGGATAAATGCCTCCTGTGCACACTAAATTGAATGGCAATAGGTAAGCTCCAGCCTCCAAGTGTGTGCTTCATGGAGCGTGAAAAAGGGCAGATTTTTAGTATTCTTCCATAGTAGTCTGTTGATTTGGTGATGATAGCTTGATACCTTATGTTGGTTCCTGTATATATAGGATGTGGTGTACATACTGCCAGAAACTGGATACCTAGGTTGGTAGTGTGGGTGTGGATGTGGATGCGATGCTTATCTGTGTGCTGTACATAGGGGTCAGTGGTGGTCTGGTGGAAGATGAAATCAGCCGACTTCAACAACGTATGTGCTAGTACTGTAAATCTGTAGCTTTTATTTGCTTAATGTAGCAGAAATTGTGTTAATCCGTGTAATGTGTGTTGAACGTATTTGCATGTCTTGTTTTCTCCTAGTGGTTATGGACCGAGTCTCTATTTATCATTCTGTGGATTCAGTTTTTGTGTTCTCTTATTATAGACTATATAGGGGATTATGTCTCCTTGGTTTTGTACAGGAAACTGGCACCCAGACCCATACTGCTGAAGATTCAGACCGGTCATGGAAGCCTATACCGATTGTTTTTTTTTTTCCGATGTTCCGAAATTTCAATACATTAAAAAGAGGGAATGCAACAGGTGCACCAATTCAAGAGATGTCAGCAGGTGTATTTGGACCCGTTTGTAGACGAGTGAGAATCAGAACAGAACTTTGTTTAGCTCGAACTAGTAGCAAATGTTTTTACCGTCTAGCTATCTTGGTCAGTAGAGCATTGTCAGCTGCAACGTTGCATGAAACATGTGCAACTGCAGCGCAAAAAGATACAACCCTTACATTGCGTAGCAAGACTCAATGTGATCTTTTCTCCGCGCTGTTCAGAGGGAGCATGGTTGCTCATGGGTCATTTACTTGTCTAGGCCTCGGCTACGGAATGTGCACAGATGGCTCCCAACTTCTGAGATCACATCCACCAGACCTCCGTATCCAGCAACAGCTGCTATCTGAACGACATAAACAGATTGCATAGAACCAGAATTAGGGGAGAACCAAGAAGTAAAATCAAATGAGGAGCAGCAAGAAGATAGGCACATACCCCAGATGAATGCATGGAGACAGAAAACGCCGACTGAGGAGCACATTTTATTTGTGAAAGGACTGTCCCGTTTATTGTGAGACGGGAGAGCACAGGTTCAGCACCAACTGCTAAAATCTGAAGGGATGCAAATGAAATGAAAAGGGGAAACGAAGGTCCAGTTAGTATGTTTTTTTGTATATAACAAGGTTGAGTAATAATGGATGCTATAAACCTCAACTACTCAAGTAAATGAGAGCATACGAAAACCATGTTCTTCTTATGAAGAATAAGGGCTTGTTCAGCTATAGTATTACTACCTCTGCCCAAGAAAGAATGCAATTCTAGGCGCATTCTTGGTTAATGTGTTTAAAGTTTGACCAAATTTTAATGTTTATGACACCAAATAAGTATGAAAATATATCTCATGGCAAATATAGGTATTTATTTGATATTACAAATATTAATATTTTTTTATTTATAGGTAGTCAAACTCAAGATTCAAGATACTTTAATACATTACTATGCTAGAATTGCATTCTTTTGTGCGGAGGGAGTACAACTTAAATCCTACTATCCATATGAAAGATGAAAGAGTCAACTCTTGTTCCCATTGTGTTGTCTTATGAAGCAAAACTGCAAAGCTTCAAAAGGTGGCAAGCTGCATGCTAAATCATACTATGAATAACCTCTATTTTGTTTGCATTTTCCCCGCACAAACATATAGCCTTTTTTCTTAAGGACATGAACTATTAATTTCCTGATCTGCACAGATTTATAAATTCATAGACCTAATTAGATCTGCTGTCAAATAGTTAATGGAAGCTTGGAAAAGGACACTAAAGAATTATTGAATATACACCTTAACCAAATGAGATCATGGAAATAACTTGAGTGATCAAATATTTGGATCAGCAACTCGCTACAGCCTTTAAGCTTGGTAACACAAATGCCAAAATGATATATCTAAATATGTTTATTGGATGCTAGTTTAGATAGGATGTAAGAGATGGAGGGACAAGTACTCACTTGATTCTTGTCAAACAACAAATCTTGAACAGGAGCATGACAGTCCAAATTAAAGATGCACTCATTTGAGAGAAGGCTCCAAACTGATATACCACTAGACGTGCCACATGCCTGAAGATGATGTGAGTGAGAATTAAAAATATATATATAATGAACAGAATATAAGGAAAGCAAAGTGGTTATAAGTAGCAAGATACTTGATGTACAAGTTTAAAGCATTTAAAAACGTCTAAAGACATGAAGTTATACCAGCCAACTTTCACTTGCATCAATGGCAACACAGCTGACCCAAGAACTATCAAATGCCTTGCTCTTTACTGGATGTATAACCTGCGTGCACTTCCCACTTCTGCAATCTGCAATGTGCAAAAACAGCAAGAACAAGCATGGACACAAAAAAATTCAGGCACTTGTAGCTTTAAATGGCAATAAACAGTTTAAATATTTAACTAAAATGGGTAAACAAGATCTTATGTGCAGGAAAGAAAAAAAAAAAGAAACTAACAAATAGCCAGTAGAACAGAGGCTGCTAGAGCATGTTCATGTTTTTCTTTTGTACAGAATAAACAGGTAAACTTCTTAACATTGTGCTGAATTTGCAAATTTCTGTTATACAATTCAGATAAAGGAAGAAAATCAAGCTACACGTGATGCACATGACAAGAAAAAAAATGATGGATTTGAAACCATCACTCACCCCAGATACGAGCTGTCCCATCCTCTGATCCTGTTACAACCTGACCAAAAATAAATCAGTTAGTAACCATATCACATATGGTACATAATATAGGCAAGATAAACATCAAATAATGGAAAACCAACATAATCAAATAACCTGGTGGTTTGACTCACGAACTGCAACGCTGTGCAAATAATCAGCATGCCCCTTGAATTTGATTTTACATTTACCAGTCTCCTGAGAGAAGCAGCCATGATCAGCACTAGTTTCAGATACCTCCTCAAGCAAAACACTGGTGTTATCTGTTGGAGCTTGGGTTACTGTGTAGGTGATATGAGTGGGCGGTCGAGGGGCGAGGCTTGAATGCCCGGCGGTGAACTGGCGGCGCCGTGCTCGGCGCTGAAGCTAGGGCTGGAATGCACGAGAGAGAGAGAGAGAGAGAGAGAACGCGAGCTAGAACGCCAGCGAGCGAGAGAGATTAATCTCAATCTCTGGCTAACCTTCTCATTAACAAACTGTTCCATACTTATATGAAAATCCTAACAACTCATTAGCTAACTTTAAGGGATAACAAAACCAACTAACTAGCATTCCTAATTGCTCGGATCGTGAAACGGAGACGCGAACTTCCTGGCGACGCGGTTGACGCAAACTGAATGGTGACCGCGCTCTGGCGTTCCTCGCTGCGGCCCACCCTTCAACCACTTGTCTTGGCGCGACGGCGATAGACATTTCACCATAACATTATCCAAGCTTATAAAGACTCTAAAGCAGAAGTGCAGTTCCTTCTATGTGTGTTCAAGACTCCTATAAGTAGCATTTACCTTAAGAAAATACATACCACATCCCAGCAGTAAGCACATGCATCCCCCGCTGCTGCCAAAATGGATCCATCCTGTTTGGAAGGACAAGGATACCACCAAATAAGATATGCTGAACCAAGCAATATGCATGAGGAGTGGACATCTGGGACCGTCACACTTCTTGGAGGATGTACAAACATGAAAAGTTTCAGTCGTTAACCTGTTTATTAATTGCAATGGCATTATTTTCAGGTATTGGAGACCGAGCACCCCAAGGACCCCTACAAAATTGCCAGCAGCAACAATTGAAACAGGGTAGATTCATGGGATGGTACAGCTGTTGGAATAAACAGTGTAAACTGGAAGGTCTATGAGATGTGCAGTCTTATCATAGAATCTTACTCGTGCTGAGGGTTGACCAAGTCAAGTGCTGGTTCGAGATGATCCCCTGTGAAAAAAAGGTAACAGAAAAATTGGTAGAAGCAATAAAAATAACTGAAATGTAGAAGATACGCTATGCCATTTTAGGCGCAATTCCACAGAGATTTCTTTCTCCCCTTTCTCCTTGTATCAGCACAACTATATTGTATTGATTCAAAATTGAAAGGTTATCGACTTGTGTGCTGGTTCAAGCCTTCAAGGCGCAACACTCACAAAAAAGATTATAAAAGATATGGCTGCATTTTATAGATAAAATGAGTAGAAGCTATGAAACGTTTTCAAATGAATCATGCTCTGCACTGGCAAGATTCTAGATTTTATTTGCCTCCCGAACAATTCCACTGTGAAGGCGAAATTTACATCAAACCTACACCTTTGTAAAAAATGTGCGCCTTTTTTTTAGCACCTGTGCTGTAGCAATGCCCTAGTGGCTTGGTAAAGCATACGCCCACTCATGAAAGAAAAAACGTCAGAAAAGAATGGAAGTTTGAATGCAGCACCTTGCAGGGAGAGCGGGACAAGGCAGCTCTGCATCTCATGCCACCTCCAGCCCCTGATGCGGCCGTCATCCCCGCAGCTGCCACAAGGAAGTAAGCAACCAAAGAACCACATCACCGTCTCCGACCAAATGAATAACATTGCCATGGAGAAGCGAAACACCATAAGTCAAACATTCGGTCAGTCACCTGAAGAGCAGCGGCTGCTGCGGATCGGGGTAGAACCTGACGTCGTAGGCGGGGCCGCTGTGCGCCTGCACGATGCAGACGGGGTCGACCAGAGCGGCAGCGGTCTCCACCTGCGAACAAGACCAAGAAAATCTCACGCCTACGCCTCCTCTCTGGCCGTGAGTCCCCCAAAAATCAGCTTTTGCCAAAGGGTACGAACCTGGGAGGCAGCGGAGCCGGCTGAGATGCAGGATGAAAGGGAGAATGAGGCGAGGGAGCCGTCGCTGGAGGCGGCGGCGAGTAGGACGTCGCGGTCCGGGTCGTTGCTGTTGTCAAAGAACACGGCACGGAAGAGGGTGCGGGACGAGAGGTCGAGGGCACGGAGGATGCCGCGGCGGTAGGATGCGTCGTCCCACCCTCGCGCATCCATTGATGCCGGATGAGACTGCGCCGCCGCCGCCGCCGTCGCCATGGCCGCCTTGCTCTGCGCGCTGCGCTGTTGCTTCGGGAAGCGAAGGGAGTCAGGGAAAATCCCCGGTGAAAGCGACGGCGGCTTGGGCTGGGCTTGTTTCAACTAGGCCAGAATTCTGCCCTCTTCTGGCCCACCTTAAAAAAAAAAGATGTTTTAGCGCACGCTATCTGCCGCCCTACCTAGAGCCCTATCAACCATGTACATGGTAGTTCATTGGATTATGTTGAAAGTTTATTGAACAAATTGACTTTATAAAAATGACTTACTTGAAAAAGCATCCCTCTGTTTGGAGTTACGCAATTTAAAATTATTCTAAAAATCTTGTCTAATTTTAGAACACATAAAAAATTCAGTTTAGCTCGACAAAACATGAAATAATTTGCAGTTTTTTCTAATAACAAACTTGTAATAATGGTTCAAAGCACTGTCAATTTTGTAGATCCCTCAACTAGCATTGATCTCTTAGACAACCACAACCTAGTAATGGGCTTTCACAAAAAAAAGAAGTAATAGATTTATGTTCTATTTCATGATTACTCTCTTGTTACAACTTCCGGAGCATGGTGAGTTGGCGAAACAAGATATGCCCTGTCAAGCACAACAATTTAAGCATCACAATTCCACGTTGAATATTTCTACACATCTCTGGTCAAACAAACCACAATGGCACAACTGAAAACAGTTACAAACAAGTCAGCTCTTAGCTTTTACAGCTCCAGAACGCGTATACAAAACACCACCTGGGTGGACATCTTTGAAATCATGTATCTGGTAGCTCATGACCTCATGTTAAGGCTTCTACAGCCAGTTTAGGCAAAACAGCCCCAGGGTTCTCAGTCTTCACTTACTGTCTGATCCACTCTTCGGATGGATAGCTTCCACAATAGCTTCAATCTCTTCCTTGGCACGCTCAAACACATTCGGGCCTTTGACTTTGTCGACTGGTGTGTTCTCATTTATGTCAGCACTTGTTCCATGAGTTTCATTCGTGTGTGTTTTTATATTGTGCAGGCTCCCCTCCTTGTCTTCCTTATGTGATTCTGCATGTATTCAGATTTCAGAGATCCGCATTGTACTGAGGATAAAGCTCTCAATTGAAGTGGTGTTAGTAATATTGATTCAAAATCACCACCAAGCATGAAAATAGCATTACAAACTTGGAATTAAGATGTTCTATAAGGTTCTAAACAACCATTGAACCCTGTTCCTGTTTTTCAATTAGCATCTAAAAAGCAGTACTTTAGTATAGCTAAGAGTACTTCTATACTTGAAAGGATATACACAAAATTCTATGATTAAGCAGCAGTAAATTTTAATTCTTGGGCAATGATAACCATTATGAACTCAATATGCTCAGAAATCCTTTGTGCAAGTTTGAAAATGTCTGCATGCTAATGTTCTAGGTCATACTTTTGTGATCATTCATCAGGGCAAAAAATGTTGAACAAACCTACTCTTTCCAAAAAACGGTGAAAGAATTAAGACAAATGCACAAGACATGTTTTTCATTAATACAAAGGGACAGCACATGCTATTAAAAGGAGAAGCAACCCGAACTTTCACATTTGCAGTTGTTTTACTGTAAAATCAATGGCTCTCATCATGAATCACATTATAGTTTGCAAATGACATCGATAAATGACAAGGTCAAGCTATAGTATATGGGCTGAATGGTTTTTTGGTGAATTACATCCAATGTCTTTGGTATGAATGATGACACATTCTATTGGTAAGTAGCTACAGTTGTACTTAGCTTCAGTTGGTAAAGATGAACAACAAGCAGGGTAAAAGATATACTATAAAACCACTATAAAAAGTGCAAAGATGCGAGTTGATTCTGGGCACCATTACTGTCCTTTCTTTCTTCTTATCCTCCAGATTCTCGCTCTCCATTCCTTTTCATCTACTCTTATCAAAGCAAGTTACTTTGGCCGCCAACCAAGCTGTCCACGTCACCCTAAATTCTCCTGATCGTCTGATCTGCCGTTGGACGTCCCAGATGTCCTAGAGCGGATTCTCACCGACAGCCGCTTCTGTGGCTTCTCCTCCGCTTCTCCCGCTTCTCCTCAGAATCTAAAGAATCAAATATATACAATAGCTCCCACTTCTGCTTCCCGATTCTTCTTCTCGCCCCTCCTCTCTCTCTTTCTTCGCTCGCTCTGGATCTTCCTCCCGACGCGGACAGCAGCGACGGCGCCAGGCGCGTGTGGGGTGCGGCGGCGGCGCTTGCCCTCCTCCTCCTCCTTCCTCCCTCCCTCGCCTGCCTCTCCCTCCGTTTCTCCCTCCCCTTCCTCTCTCTCCTCTTCCCTCCCGATGCGGCAGTGGGCGGCGCAGCCGGCTCCCCGCGCTGCATGCGGCCGGCCCCGAGGCGACGCGCCGGCGCCTCCGCCGCTCCCTCCCCCACAGTCACGTGTTCTTTCATAGTTGTTTTGTCTTCATTGGATTCTTTGCCTTCACTGTTGCCTGTTCTAGAGTTAGGATTTTGGCCCAGCTCGTATGAAGAGTTCGTTCTAGGGTTACCCACCTTTAGGTATGAGGAGTTTCCCTGCAATTTTACCATGCATGTTGAAAGATTTCATAGATTCATTCATATGCTCAACCTGTGATGCTTATTTACTACTTTCTGTGCAGGTCCTATGTAGTTGGAAGAAATTATTTTTCTCTTAGCTCAAATATGATGCTCTGGTATGCTCTACAAGTCTCATGCCCTTTTGGTCTATGGTCTTATATTCATGTTCTTTGAAATTTGGGGTAAAATTGATAGTCGAGGTTCGTTGGAAAAAAATATTTTCCTCTTAGCTCAAATATGATGTGCTCTGTTATGCTCCACGAGTCCCACGCCCTTTTTGTCTATAGTCTTATATTCATGTTTTTTGAGATTTGGGACAAAATTGATAGTCGACGGTTTTAGTTTCTCATTTTTTTTTTGGGACAACATCCACGTATCGCCACATCAATAAGAAAACTTCAGTATTGTGTACTCCTATATATAATGTTTTGTTCTTCTCCGGTGTCAGTTAAAAGTCTACAGTATCTTAGGCTAACTAGATGACATATTGTGCCTTGTTCCTTTTTAATTTATCCTAGTGCTCATATTTCCTACTCTCTTTATTCATGCTGCTAGCTAAATATCTATTAGAGCAACTACATCAAACAACTCTACCACTTCATCCTGGTTCTATGGTGCCTCTTAACTCATGTACACACCTATATATAATGTTTCCTTTATTTTACGGTGGCAGCTAAAGGTCTAAAATATCTTAGGCTAAATAAATTACCCACCATGCCCTGTGTCTTTTTAGCCTATCCCAATGCTCATGCATTCTGCTCTCTTCATTTATGTTTGTAGCTAAATGTCCAAAGTATCCTCTAACTATTATTAACTATCTTATCAGATTTTTTGGCTAATCTTCCTTTTTATTGTTGGTAACAACTTCAGCTACACATGGCAACATGCATAACAATACCGATTAGTGACTTTGGGGAAGACAAACAAAGGGTTAGAGCCAATATTTCCTCATCTCCCTACCTTTCATTGTCCATTGTTTATCTATTGTTTTCTTAAGTTGTTTTTTTCCTTTGTTGATTCAGAGATAAGGGGATTGCAGCTGTGGATAAATTACCAAAAGAGAGATTAGCCTCAAAATTAATGTGCCCCGACACAAAAATTTCAATCCATCTGTCTACCATTACTGTCTCAAATAAGAAAAAAATAGACTCTTCCTTTATATATATTGTTCACTGATACAAATACTCATTGTCCTTACGAATGGCGACCTCAACTGGATACATCTTTTCTATTTTATCTTTGGATTGAAATTGTTTTTATCTCTGGATTGGCTACACAAATTTAAATTATTGTTCTCTTTTTAACTTATTGCAGCCTGGTATTATGCAGTCTGCAGCGGGCTTCATTGGGATTTCCACCCTGCTAATGCCTTTTCATGTCTCTCTTGCACCATTCAGTTAATTACTAGCTCATGGACAGGTTCATTTGTTCTTTTCTTGCAGCTATTTTCAAAGTAGGTTTCAGAACTGTTGCTATGTGTGGTGGGCTGGTGATGTTTTCTCGCACAGAACTATATGTTGTTCTACTTCTCCATATAGCTACACAATTCATTTGATGGCCTAGAGAAAACTGAGTGAGGAGTAAGAATCACAAGGTGCTTGATTTATAGGTTCGTAACTTGCTTCTTGCCTCATTTGTGATATGAATTTTTACCGTGCATAGTGTGCAAATTGCTAATTTCAGAAAATTCAGTTTTCATGTACATAATCGGTACAACTCTGCAATTTTGTTTGAGTTCTCCAATTTTGATGTTCTATGAACAAACCCTATGCGAGATTGGATTACAGAGGTAACATGCCTTGTACTGTGATCTAGGCATTTTTTAGTTGCTTTGGAAATTTTATTTTTACATAGTCATGATTGAACTGCTTTAGTATTTTTATCTTGGTGAAAATACTCTCTCTACTGCCCACCTTCTTCTATATCTACTATAGCCCTGCAATTGCCTAATACATCTGCAATTTTTAATGTCTTCATCATTGGCAATAGATTTCGGTTGGCACCATTTTATTTTTACATAGTCATGATTGAATTGCTTTAGTACTTTTATCTTGGTGAAAATACTCTCTCTCTGTTGCCCACCTTCTTGTATATCTGCTATAGCCTACAATTACCTAATACATCTGTAATTTTTAATGTCTTTATCATTGGCAATACCTTCGATGACATCGTCAGTGGTGGCACAGTGGCGGTGCAGCGTTGGTCTGTCAACCCGCAGGATTTAGGTTGTCCAAGTCCTCTTAGGAGGATATAGCTTGGCTGGAGAGTGTCAAGAGGGAGCTCCAGGAGGTAGTTAGATGCTAATTGACCTTCTGCTCTTGGTATTGTACTATTGCTTGTGTTCCACAATTTGCTAATTTATATCAAGCCTGATGCAGACTGTTCACTATCCTATGGAGCATCCGAACAAGTTCGACAAGTTTGGCATGTC